CTGGTAAGAAAAGTTGTGAGCATTGTGTTAGAAGATCAGGGGGAAATAGGGGAACAGCTGGAGGGCCGGTTCAAAAAGGACTTTTTTCTTCTTTCACCACCGTTTATTTGGAGGATAAAGGCATTCTTCAGCAGCACCACTGACCTGACTCAGATTCACATAGCACCCAATCCTGTAAATTGCTAAACACTGTCAGTTCCCATTAACAGGAGTTTTCAGGCTAGAGTCCTTGTAACTTACCAGCTCCTCATCAGCTGTGGAAATTCAACTCCTGCGGTTTCATCAAGAGGAAGCTTGAGGAATTATTTTCTGGCAGGATGTTAGCTCTTGACAAGCCCCTGGCAACAGTAGTTGTTCTGCTTTTGTGTTTATCTTCCAAAAAGGCATGGGATTATGTGGTTAAGGGAGTTTGCAGTGTCAGTGCATTAGTTTTCCAACCAGCAAATGTAGTACTTAAGTGTTCAAAGATTAGTTTCCTTGGAAACAGACAGCAAAAGATGTAAAAGCCCAAACTTATTTTGATAAGCACATGTCATCTTATCTTGGTAGTAAAATTTATGTTGCCTTTTTAGATGGCCTGTGCTTGAACTCCACGAAATATATGATTCTGGATTGGAACTGGAGAGATCAGAAACTAAGGAGAATGATGGATATCCCTGAGGTATTGTATAAGCACCTGTATATATTATATTCTGTGTATTCATTACTTTTGATTCTAGTGCCCAGATCTTGGTGAGTAAGGTTTTCTTTCTGCAAAGCTGACTTCAGTGATATAGAAACATAAAGAAGTGAACATTTGACTGCTGAGTCTGCACTCTCAGGTCTCAAAATTACCTCCTGAGGAAGATTTTTTCCTTTTTTGTTGCAAGTCACAGCTGTGACTTCTACGGCTGTGCTGTGAATTTCTCCTGTTTATGCTAGATGGTTGTTCTACCTGTTCCCAGGGAGTTCTCTCAGTAAGAGGAGTTTGGTCAAAAGTTTCTCCAAAAACTAAAGAAAACGGGAGAAGCATTTCTTTGTTTGCATCTAAGAGTAAGATAACTTCTTGTAAGTAAATTTATAGACAGTTCTCTCTTTTTCTTTTTTTTTTTTTTTTGTTTTTTGACAAGAGGTAGGGTACAAACTATGTAGAACCATCCATCATTTGTAGACTTCTTTTAAGATAATTCCCCATTCTTTTCAATTCTGTAATCCAGCTTTCACGTTTATTGCTGTGACAGTTTGCTTTTTGAGGCAAGGAGGCTGCTCCCTCTTGTGGTAAATACAGAAGGCTTTTTTGTATGGTGCTTGCACTTACTTGAAGTTTTTTAAAGAACACAAATTCATAGACATAGCAGGACAAAAGGTGCCAGTTACAGTGGGATGGATTTTTTTAAGTCAACTGAAGTAAATACACATACGGTAGACTACAGGTGATCCACCTCAAAAAATGAAGACTATGGGCTATTGAAAGCCTGAACTATCCTTTTCAGCTCACTGTAGGTACCATTCTGTCTAGGAATATAGGCCAACAAATTACTCCAGAGGTATTAAGGAAAAATCTTAAGGCTATCTTAACATCAAAATGTTAAGGTTTAAAACCAAGTAAGTAAGAATGTTATACCTTCATATATAGTGTTAGCATATGGAATAGATATTTAGGTGTGATTACAAAATAGTGAATATGTGATTACAGAAAAGTCTTCAAGCCTGCACTTGACTCAGGTAACCCAACGTACAGAAAGGTTTTTGACATCTTGAGCTATGTAAGTGGAGCATCTTGTGGCTATTTGTCCTGCTGCAGATTCCTGGAAATTATTTATAAGGAATGTCAGTAATAAAAGATACCCAAATAAAGGCATTTTAACACAGTAGAAACCAATGGGATGTTTTGGCAACTTGCAGACTTGAAATACGGAATACAGTCTTAGCGAGCAGAGGATCTTACTTTTCTACTTGTGCAAAAATTGTCAAATACATGCTATGAATAGTCATAAGTTTCTCAAAGAAGAGAGGAATTAAGTACAAAAAATGTAATTTAGAGAATTGGCAGTTTGATGTACTAATTTCTTTTCATCCCGTATTAGTTGTGGAGGCAAAATTGCACCCTTAAAATTAGAAACGAGGCATACTGACGTATTTTCAGTGCAAACCTCAATTGTCAATAATTTCTTTGCATGTTTAAGGTGCTGCATTGCTAAATTTCATTGTGGTTACACCAGAAAGCAAGAACAGCTGGAAATGTGTCCATTCTACTTGCAGTTTTTGTGCTCGCCTGATGTTCAGTGGAGAATTATGTACACAGTGGTATATTCTGATAAATATATGGATTTAAAAACACAGGAATCTTCCCACACGACAGTCTTGCATCCCATCATATCCACATAATGGATGGTGCCCTGATGCACTGCTATCTCAGTTGCCTCAACACCTCATTAGATGCTGTTGGGTTTTGGTTTTTTTCTCTTTCTGTGTCTCCTGCTTCATTCATCCCAAACAATGGCAAGAAGGAACTAAAAAGAAAGCTCACAAAGAAACTGGAGGAGGGGTGGATGGGTTCATGTGACTGTGACTTGGCACACGGGAGTTATATTAAAGTATAAAGGTTTAAATAAAAATTTATTGTATACTTTCTGATGTGACCAAAGGACAACCTTCCTGCTTTGAAAGCTTTGTGTATGAGGTTGATGGCAATATGGAGTTGTCTCAACTCCTCAATTTACTTGTTTCTAAGATTCAAGTGGAGTTTTTTCAACAAAAACCTGTATTGTATTGTCTGCAAACAATACAAACACTGAGCCTTGAGTAAGTTTGAAAATGCAGAAAGTTTAGGTTTCAGGCTTCATGAAAGTAAAAAGGTTTGTAAGAAATGGACTTGTGGTAGACTGCTATTTTCACTCTCATGTAGCACATCCAGTGTGGAATAGAGATTGCTTAGGCTTTCTCACATCATTTATTTCTGTGGAGGCACAGAATGATATAATCCTGAGAGAAAACTTGCAAATAAATTATTCGTAAGTGGGAAGAGGGAGATTATAAGAAGACTCTGGACTAACCATGATGATAGAGAATCTCATGTTCCTGCTAAAATATGTAGCCAATATTTACTCTTGAATACATTCGTCTTTTATCTTTAGATATGCAATAAGCTACAGCGGTATCTGTGTTATAAACCAAAGTGCTGTACATGCAGCACATGTAGACCTGACCTTCATGCTCGCTTTCATTCAGGTGTCTCAGACACAGACAATGTTGTGGCTGTTGCAATGCAGTACTGCCCTTGGACTACTTGAGACCAGTTGATACTGTGGAAAGTCCCATAGGGATTTTGCAGCCCAGGATGGACCTTTTGCTGTGTCATGCTTTATCAACTCCGTACCAATGTCAACTTTTCTGTAGCCATAGTTGCACTTTAGGATTGCAGAGCAAATGCTAGATGTTTTACAAAATGGAAACATTCTAAAGCTCAGGACCTTTTATGGGAACCTCTTCTTTAATTTCTAGTCCTATGGTGGGGTGCCTGAGTAAATAATGTTATTTAGCCAAAGCATTATCAGTAACTTTTGATGCTTTCTTTGTTTTTTATTTTCTTCAGATAAAGAAAGAAACAGTTGACCTACTGGAGATGAGTATTATAAAGCTGTGCAGAGAGGGATCTGTGAAGCTGGGACTCTTTTAATGGTTTTACCAACAAGGAAGTAATTTGCAGCTGCATTTTACTATTATCCTGTCTGCAATTGGCGAGAGGTTAACAGGTGATGGAATCAAGAATTTTGACTTTTCAGAGGTCTATCAATACAGAAAGAATGCACATTGCAACTTTTTCCAAGTTTCCTTTTCTTTTAATAATAAAACATGAGTTTTGTTTGTAGTTTTAGCATGATTTTTATTGCAGGAAATATGTGATACTAAAATTAGAGTTACATTGCATTCACCTTACTACTCTAGGTCACTTTTAAGACTTTGAAGATGAGCAGACTTGGCTGTGAAAGTCTTTGTACAACTCAGTTTTCTGTTTTCTCCCTCTGCTGTCCCAAAGGAGACACTTAATTCTCTCATGAGAGTGGTAATCTAGTTCTTGCCCTCGAGGGTCTTTGAAAAACTTGTATGAATTTCAGTAACTTGTCAAAAGGGTATTTTTCACCTGTCTGTTCTAGAGCTGGACAGATGCTATTTTTTGCTATTACATGATAAATTACCTGTGTATTATATTTAGACTGTATTTTGGTTAAACTGTTGGAGTGTGCAAATAATATTCTTCTGTTTGTCCATTTAAATTAAAAGGAGATGATCTTTGGGTGATTCTTTTGTCATTGTGGATAGCAGGGAATGGATGGATTTTTTTTTCAGAGGACAAGATGAATAAAGGTGAGCAAATCATCAGCATCTTGGAAAGCCCTAGATCGAAATCAGATGTTTTGAGAATGAGTTGCCCTTTTGTGATAAAGAACACATAACCTTTTTACAAATTTAAAATGCATCTGAATCAATAGCAATGACTGCAGTAGGTTAAGAAAATTGCTTTGGTCTTCCAAAGCAATGGTTTCTGTCCGGGGCTGTCTCAGCACCTGCAGTCCTCCCCAATGGCATCCAGTGCAATCAGAGTACAGCTCCTTTCATTGTATGCCATGCCTGTTAGCTTGGCAGTGAAGGGAGAAGAAATAATACACCTGAGATTACACAGAAATTCCAGTATAGCTGGCAGTATCCCTGCAAATTAATAAGACATAACAAATCCTACTGAATTGTGGGGCAGGAAAAAGCATATATTTAAGCTCTTCCAGGAGACATGAGCTGTACACCCTGACCAAAGTACACAATCATTTGATTGGTACAAGCTGATCATGGGGATCCAGGCACAAATGTAGAAAATGAGGAAGAGAGAGATCTAGTTAATAAGTAATTCCTGGCCATAATGTGGGTTTCAACAAACAATACAGTTTCCCAACGGTAAGGACAGTATCTCAGCTTAAACACTCTGCAGCACAAGTATATTATTCCTTCCTCTCACCAAGAAGAAAATGAAAAACAAGACAAGTTTTCTTCCACAAGAAGGAGAGGCTCGTCCTTCCAGATGTCCAGATAACAGTGCGTTCAAACAACAGAAGCTACCAGCTTGGAAGCCCCAGCTTACCATTGCGACTGTGCTCTCCAGCTTCTTTCTCACAGGCGTGTTCTGCCTTTCTGTGGGAGTCTGCCTCATACTGTCCGCAAATAGCGTCAGAGAAATCCAGGTTTGTTTGGGGGTGGTGTTCTTAGGTATTCTATGAAGAAGAAACTGGGCTATGTTTGAAGGGAAAAGGCTTTGAATTTCTGCTTCTGGGTAAAGATGGTAACAATGGCTTCGTGCCTTGGACATGTGTCCAGCAGCCAGTATTCCTGTGAAAATCCTCCGAGGTAGCTGGTCACTGATAAAACCCAGGCACTGGGTGGTTATCTGGGTGGTAATATCTGAAATATGGGTGGTAATTACTACCACTATCTGAAATATTGTCATTATTTTCTGGGTTTTTGAAGGGAAATAAACTAATCCTTTTGATAATGTTTGGTAGTAGAAGATGATAAATGTTTACTGGGGCAAAATCTTAAAATGCAGGGAGCCCTGATGTTTAAATGCATCCTGGAGGAAAGGTTGGTTAGGCCTGTGGTGGTGTTAATGGACTCCTGGTTGGAGCCAACACTTAGCACTACATGCAAGGCTGTTCTTGGGGGCGGGGGGCGGCGCGGCACATGCCATAATGCACATGGGGACTTGTCAAGCATTACTTGGTCAGCCAGACCAAGCTGCAGAAGTGTTCCTCACTCGGCACTCCTTTGCTGAGGAACAGATGTGGAGATTCTGCAACAGTCATCAAAAGGCTCTAAACCAGCTTTAAACTAGGGATAAAATTTGTGAATGTTCATTGAGGCCAAGTCCTGATTCTTTGCTTCTGTTGATTTTTAACAATGCTTTTGGCAGTCCACAGTCACTTAGAACTGCTCTAAGTCTTGGAACTAAAACACTAACCTTTTCCTTTATTACAATATCTCTGCTTGTTACTTCTCTGACAGATCGATTATTCAGATAAATGCTCGGATTGTTCAAAACTCCGTGAAAATTCCTCTAATTGGAATAAGGAATGCCACTGTTCTCTTAATTTCACACTAAAGGAAGGTATATTGGTAAGTGGATGTGAGAAAACAACTCAAGTTGCTTAATACTTCCTGTTACTTCTGTTGCTGTGTGATAAAGCACACTAGTTCTGCTCTGCAGAGCTCCTGACTAAATTGTCTTTGTACTTTTTAAAAACATTTAATACTCAAAATTTTACACTTTTGCCTTTGCTATTTGTTTTGGTACATGTTAAAAATAATTAAGATCAGACTACCTCTGTCCTTGGTTGGGAGATGTCCAGGGAGAAGATGGGTATGGAGGAAATGGTGTTTGATTGTGGAGGTGACTTCTGTCTGTCTTTCTCTCTTTGAGTTAGTAGCAAACCATCGCCCTTGGCCTGGGGTTAGTTGTTACTGCACTGTAAGCTCTCAAATGAGAAGGTAATCTGAAGTTCTGACCACTTGTCATAAGTAAACTCCTGTAGTCTTTTTTATAAGGGTTATGCTATTAATCCCCAAGGTCCTTGAAATAAGTCTAGCAATGTCATTCTGCAGTTTCATTTGGGAAAAATATCCTTCATTTCCTGTCCTAAACTACTGGGTCACATTGCTGAGATGCTTCATGTACTGCCAAAGAGATCTTATGCTTAGTACTGCATAAATGATCCCTTAAAATTACAGTGTAATTGAAATTATAAAGTCACTTTAGGGTTCTTCAGTATTGAAGAGGCTGTTAAAATACTCTAATTCTTCAAGTTACAGTGATGTTTGAGATGAGAAGGTTTTTTAACTGAATAATGGTTTTTAATAGTTCAATAATCTTCTTTCTTCCTTGTATTTGCCTGCCTAGCATTCTCCTTTTAGTTACAGGACTTAACTTTTCAAAAGGTTAGAACAATTGATGAGAGGCGGCCTTATTTTCCAAAAAATCTGAAGGTATTAAGAGCTGTTGGGTAGGGAACGTGAGTGTCTGTCTCCACAAAATTATTGTAATAATTGCACCATCTTGAGTAAAGGATTTCTCTTTGTCTGCATGAGCTCACATTATTGAAAGGATTTATCCTTAAATTCCAGGGTGATGTTTTTATGTACTATGGCCTGCAAAACTTCTATCAAAACCACCGTCGATATATGATATCAAGAAGTGACGCACAATTGTTGGGTCGAAATGTAAATGTAAGTTTTAGTTATGAGATCATCAGTATTTCCATCAGGTACATCTTTGACCATATGGAGAGCTAACTAGTCATAACTGTAAGTGTGTTAAAATGGCTCTAGGGAATAATAAGAAAGTAGATTTTCAGTGTTTAAAAGTCTCTGCTTTTATGGTTGTTGGGGGCATTATGTCTAGTAAGTTAATAAGAGAGGAAGATTGAGGGGATAAATAAAAGATGTCAGTCCAGTGTTGCAGTTCTCAAACCTGCACCTTGTAGGGATGCTGATTAAAAATACATTGTCTTTTTCAAATAAATTTACAGAAAGCTTTTCCTTCTAGCGTTTATAGTCTTCTTAGCCAGAAATGTTTTAAGCTGTGCTTTTATTATAGGGTTAGGGAATTAAGTTATTCTTTCATTTTGCCATCTGGCTTTGGAAGCAGACAAGGAGCAGGAAAAGGTTTATGGTGAAATAGGTGATCATGTAGCATTCCAAGTATGCAACTTAGAGGTCTAAAGAGGAGGCTAGACAGCATCACCTGCAGCAGGCCTGCGTAAGGAAATTGGGGAATGCAATCATTGCATTCAGTTTTTTTACTTATAAATACAAAACATATTTTCTTTGGATTAAAAGTAGCATTTCTTAATATACACACAATCCACACACTGTCCTCTCAGTACGTGTAATGATTGTGCCATAATAATCTGTTGTTTCTATAAAATGCTTCTTGTAACTCTCAAGACACGTTCCCTGTACATCTGCTTCTCCAGGTGTCCAGTCAGCTTGTTTGTTTGCATCCAGGTGCAACTGCTTTTGGCTTTTGTGCCAATCAGATACACAGCTTATTAGAGTTATTTGAAAATGTTTCTGTGTTTAAACCTGAAGATTTATAGTTTCTCATGAACTGGGATAGGAGACATGATAAATTTGAGATGAGTTTTTTTTTCATGCTGTGTTTTCATACATCAAGGTTTCCCCACACAGAACTGTAGTAATGTGGCTAGCTGCCTGTGCTGTTCTCCACCATTGAAGCAGTCCAGGTCAAAAGTAAAAAGAAGGAACAAGATGTTCTAGGGTAAGCCAAGGCTTCACTGGAACATTTTAAATTGTTGCTATGTTATAATAGAAGATTCCCAAATGAGTTTTTGTAGTCTGGAGTTTGCAAGTCCTCAGCAGAATTTGGTGAAGACCTTTAATTTACTTACTGTGATGTGGAAGGTGTTCCTTAACTGCAGACCCATTCATTTGGAGGTATCTCTAATGTGACCAAAAGGTACTGGAGAGTTAATTATTCAGTGGCTTTTCAGAAGAAGGAATGGGAGGAGAACATTGTCTATCTGGATTTCTCCAAGACTTTCGATACAGTTCCCCACAGACTCCTTCTAGAGAAACTGATGCGTTATGGTCTAGACAAGTGGTCTGTGTGGTGCGCAGGGAACTGGCTGACAGGCCACACCTGGAGGGTGATGGTGGTAAATAGCTCCTTTTCAGACTGGCAACCTGTCACAAGTGGGGTCCCCCAGGGATCGATATTGGGCCCAATGCTGTTTAATATCTTCATAAGTGATCAGGGTGATGGGATCAAGTCTATGCTGATGAAGTTTGCGCATGATACCAAACTGTGGGGAGGTGGATGCTTTGGAAGGCAGAGCCACCCTGC